CAGACAAACCCCTGATGTCACTGACAGACAAACCACTGATGTCACTGACAAACCACTAATGTCACTGACAGACAAACCCCTAATGTCACTGACAGACAAACCACTGATGTCACTGATATGGTATCTGTCCACGTAACTAATTAGACCAATCTCAAGCCAACACAAATAGTTAATAAACCCGTGAGTTTCCTTAAGCCCCCCCCCCCTAATAACCTGCCTACCGAGTGCTATCCACACCCCCATCAACAAGCTCTCACGACATACCCCTGCTTGTACAGCCTACATTATTGATACCACACTCACAACCTCCCGGATAGAAAATCCCATTAGCGCCTAATGCCCGAACATAAGGACCATGTTGATCAATAATAAAACAAGTACATGGGCTGCTGAGGATGTGTGTTTAGTTGATTTACCCTAGCAACCAAGTTTGTTGTTAGATACACCCAGCGTTCTGCTATAAATTCGTAGATCGTTAACACGCCAACAAATGAATCCTCTAACAGAAGAGCAATGGGCTGATAGGTAATGATGCTAATTGATGAGATTTGTTTCTGGTTTAAGTACAGACAATTGAATTGTTAAATCAAGCGAAACATACGCATAACAGTAGATGAACAATGGCTAATGTATGCAGACATAGGATGACAAAAGAATTTTTTTTAAAAACTGAATGTATTTAACAAAAATACATCCGAGTAGTAATGTCAGGTGTGAAAAATATCTGAACCTTTACAGCTAGCCTTCTAGAGGATTTATAGCGGCATGAAGTAACGTCGTTGATTACAATGTTATTAACAAGATATTAGCCATCCACACAGCTACTAGCTACCAACCAGCCTGCTAGACATGAGCTACCGAATCGCTAGATAGCTAGCAGCTCTTGCCCATTTAGCGATACAACAAAGGAGATAGACCTACGCGTTTAGATTAGAGCCAGAGTTTCTTCCAGGCATCTCTTCGCCCCCCCCCCCCGAACTAAATGGAATTTATACAGAAAATATATACTTTTAACAGTGTCCGCCCCTCCGGAAATTTTAGTCCGCCCCCCCCTCTCCACCTTGCGAAAATTTCAAGTGCCCCCCCCCCCCCCCCCCGAGAAAAACAATGTTTAATAACCAAAGTGCCTGGAACTAGAGAGCCTTAATAAATTGGATTTAATATCAAAGCTGCCAGTGGTTTGTATCAACAACCAGACGATAAAACTAAAGGTTAATGAAATCTGATGACGTCATCAGACACGGAGATGTTGTTATATTTGGAGATAACGTGGCTAGAAATGTCTGTCGCCTGCGTTATGTCATAATTTAGCCGTTATTTCTAGTTAAAATGACACAGACCTTCGATCAGGATCAATGTGTGGCACTAACTCGTGGGGCAAACATCAGAGTTTAAGCATTATTGTATTTTGATGTGTGTGTGTGAGGGGGGGGGGGGCTGACCTCAGTCTGGTGCGAGTAAAAGTTATAAGCGGGACCCACAGTCTCAAACTTATCATGGGCCACTGTCTCAAACATATCGTGGGCCACCGTCTGAAAACTTATCATGGGCCACTGTCTCACAAACAACATATCGTGGGCCACCGTCTGAAACTTATCATGGGATGGTGTAACGCCCTGTAGGCGACTCGACATGCTACACGACATAACTATAAACCATAAAAGAAAAGAAAACCTTCCCCTTGATCCAATACGAAACAGGTTGGAGTTAGGTCAGATCCCTCCTGTAAAGAGCTAGATCAAACTCCTCCTGATCGAAGCTAAATCTGACGCCGCACCTGATGGGAGCTAAATCCGGCTCCCACACATCCCCCACCCCCGTAGGAGCCAGATCAAACTACTCCCACAAATCCCCCACCCCCGTAGGAGATGGATCAGACTACCCCCCTCCCCCCCCAACCGTACTTATAGATCCGCAACCTTCCCCCACTATGGCTAATAATGTGACGTCATTGAAAAGGATAGTACTTTTTAAAATCGATTTTTTTTTTCTCAAAATTGATCATCGATAAAATCTATAGGAAACTATAGCTCTTTAACGATCGTGCATGAAAAAAAGACTGTAAAATCAGGTTTTAAATTCACTGGTGCGTGTAATTAAACTAGTGTTCAATCAACAATCGATGCACGTGATGAGAACATTCCACTCTACTGGTTTACTCAGCCTCTAATTGCTCTTGTTAAAATGTTGACCATTGGTCTACGCGGTTGTTAAACGTTGATCAACGGTGTTTTTACGTGGTTTTATTGGAAACGTTGACCTGTGGTATACTTTAAACACCATATCTACTTCTCATTTAGGATTCAAACCTTGACCAATACTCCCCCTAGCTAAACACGGTACAATATGACTTCTTTTTAAATCAGGCTAAAGTTTTGTCGCCTGATCCCTTCTAATGTCTGACATCTGAGTTAGCTCAACGAGAAACCAAGGAACTCAAATCAATACTAGCGTTTGTAAGATAAATACGGGATCCAATGGCTGTCCCATGTGCTACAAATTTACAACTGCCTTGAACTGTGTACATTTGGCTTGTAGAAACAATTTAGATTACTTTATTTTTAAAACAATAATGAAAAAAACATAATTTCGTTTTTTTTCTATATATGGTTCTACATTCCTCTAATACTGCCCTACCATTGGTCTTGAGGAGAAAATGTACCATGACACAAGCATGTAGGGCCTATACAATACTAAGTTCTATTTGAGCCGGGTTTTTTTTCTTTTTCATTGCCTTGAAATTTTTCCCCCGCACAGGATGGTAGGGGGGAGGGGGGGCACACAAGGCCAGTATTGTCATTAAAAATCTTACCCGTAAGCCACACACCACCAACCTAGAGAGTCAACCTACATCAACGTCGTAAACTTTTCTAGACGAATTCCTCAAATCTTCCAGCCGTATGTCGCGTCATGCAGCTCGACAAAAGCCAATCAGGCCGAAAATGTGATTGATTTCTCCCCTTTGATGTGGAACTAAAGCGCCACACAAGCAGCAAGAAAACACGTAAACAACTTCACGGCTAAGGAGCGGAGTATAATCTAGACCCGCCGTCTTTTTTCATTTCAGTTTTTTCATCTCAGTTCAAGGTCGATCATTTATATATACGTTATATACATGGCCCCAATGTACCGTGGCGCACCTTATATATCTAGACTATATTTACATATAGACCTATGATAGTAAGATTTTTGTAATTTAAAATCGTGGTTTTATGACTTTCAAAATTTTGTAATTGTAAGTAGGCCTATAGAAAAACGAAACAAGCGAACGTAGTTTAACGAGAGAAAGTAATAGCGGGGAGTACGGTGCCAATTGTAGCAATGGGCTACAATTCGACATAAGTCCGCCAATTTAAATCGGGGCGGCCAATAAAAAAAAAAAGAAACCTTTGTAAGATCACTGGGCCGTGACAACTACTCCCATTTTCGACCCACTAGTTTTCTTTTTATTATAGAACAAAAACGAGACCCCCCTCCACTACCAAAACATCTATACCGAAAATGTGTGCAATTAATCAGACATCAATAGAACTTATTCATAATTTTTTGTATGATATCGCGACCTCCAGAAAGATTAATTCTCAATTATATTGCAACACAAAACAGGCTTTGGTAATCAGAAACCGATACTATAAATTGGCCAGCGTGGGGCATTGATGATTTTTACCTCCCCCCTCCCCTCCACATCGTCAAAAAAGCTAGACCCCCCCCCCCCCTAAAAAGACGTCACACCTCAGCCTACAACCCCCTCAAAATTGCAGTTGAATTTATCTTAAAACATCTATATTTTTCCAAAATCTTGTCTGAACAATTTATTAAAACTTTTTTTCCAAAACACGATATAACAGCTAAAAATTCGTTTTCTAGCATTGCTTTTTATAATGCAAAAGTGTGACGTCACGTCTGCCCCCCCCCCCCCCCCCCCACCACACACCGGCACAAAATTACGGAGCCCTTTTCCCAGAGGCGTATCGACCCTTCCCGGCGCCTGGGGACAAACTTTTGATTTGCACCCCCCCTCGAACTTTTGATTTCCACACCCCCCCCCCCCTCAAACTTTCAATTTGTTTTTACAACCCATTTTGGCGCCCCCCTAAGGTCGGCGCCCGGGGACATATGTCCCCCCTCCCCCCCTCGCTACGCCTCTGCTTTCCCCCCTTACGAGTGTGACGTCCTTGACGTCCCCTTTGGTAAGGCTAATTTTAGCTGACACTAACATTATTAATAACGATGATTTTATTTCCTCTTTTACCTATACAATGTATGTAGCTCATATTTACACTATGGTAGAACAAATTTGACCTCACACTTATAGAACATTTGGCCTATTTTATCTCACAATTTTACATTATAGTTTGTATACTTAGGTGTAGGACAGTACTCATCCTGAATTGGCTGATGGTACACAATAAATTGCATGTTGCTCTATATTTAGGCATTCCATAAAATACAAAAAAGGGCAACCAGCAAAGTGCTAAATATGCTTATTCCAACCAGAACATTTAATAACTTATTCTTATCTCAATCTCTTATCCTATCCTTATCCCTAAACCTAATCCAATTAGGTTTGGGTGTCAATTTGTAAGCAACAGAGGGTAATGTTCTACTGCAATCTTTTGTTAAGGGGGTGATTCATTTTGGGTAATGACAAAAGGTAATTCATTTTAGGTAATGACAAGAGGTAATTACTGTTGAGGGAGGGGGGGGGGGGGTTATATCCTGCAACTCAAAACTCATTTATTAATACACAGTAGCACCTCAAAATACTATGACAACTTTTGGCATCTTATATAAAGAGTCACAGAGAACAAAGCTAAAAAAATCATCATGTGAGGCTTAATGGAAGAGGTTATTTGTAAACAAGCTTATACAAGTATACAACATGCAACACACATTTACATGGAAGTCTATTTATTAACAGAAGGCTTAAAATAAATACTTGCATTATGATGGAAATGAGAAAAAATAATTATGTTAACTATAATAATGAATAAATCAACACTTTTTTACTCTTACAAATATTGTACTCACTTCTTTCGTTTCCTCTTTTTTTTCTTTTTGTCTTTTTTATCATCATCTACTTTTGTTGCCAACTTGGAATTTTCTTCTTCAGCCCCATCTTCGTCACACTCACCAAATTCCTCATTAAATGACGTAGCTTCAAACACAGAGACACACCATTAATAGAGTAGTCAGGGCATAAACAAAAATTATCTACATAAAAGTATAGGATTTTGTTGTAACATTAAACAAAGTTTCATGCAAATGTTTTTCATGATTTCAAACACTATGAGCCATCTGTAAACTTGCAAGTCTACACATGTGGAGTGATGCTTTATAATTCAATTTTACTTGTTTAGGCTATGCAAACATAGAAGGATTAACAAGTATCAAGTTTATATTTATTTGATTTAATGCATCTAATTTTATAAAGATTGCCAAACAATTGTGCTTAAAGCAATAAAACAAGCTCTCATCAATCCTTTGATATTTAAATACTGTTTAATGGTTATAAATGAATTAACATAACACATGAAACCAGTAAAGATAAAAGCTATCTATTTTTGTGTATTTATCATCACAATCCATTCCATCTCACAAATAACTACAAGCAGAATATTTTAACATGGTCCAGCACTGTTAACCAGAAAGACACGAATTCGATTCTCTACTGCACCTGCTATATGACCCTTTTTTTATACTTTAAATAAAAAGATATAAAAAAGGAGAAAGCAAATGGTAAACAAAAAGCAATTCACCTGTTTCTGTTGTATTATCATCTCCCTCTCCAGCCTCCTCTGTTGGGAAAATCAACAGCGGCGTGTCATCATCCACCAGCGTCAGCTCCACAGCACTGTTCCCCACTGGCTGCTCCACAGTGTTCTCCACCTCCCCATCACTCTCATCAGAGCTGCTGCTGACTACATCCTCGTTGTCCTCATGTGCTTCTGATAAGCTTTCTTGGGAAAGTGCATAGCCTCCAGATACCACACTAGCTGGGTTACTGTCCTTGAAAACCATGGGGCTGCACTAATTTGCTAGGTGAATACTTTTACCCTCCTGGCAAGTGATGAAAATCTAGAAAAACAAAAGTTTCCATAAAGATGTAACCAAATGGACAAATTAAAGATTTAACCACATGGACAAAATAAAGATTTAACCAAATGCAATTATATATTGACACTGCATGATTGTACTGTATCAGCAAGAAAGAAGAATAAATCAGTCATCCATTTTTAGTATTAAAATTTTGGGGGAATTCCTAACAGGAAAAAAATAGTGAAAAGAAAAATGTTATGAGAAAAAAAAAGCCCCAATGCTGTTATTTATAGTTCAATAAAGACTCAATTAATTCTGGGTTATATAAATTTTACTTTGTGTATTAAAAACATTGGTTAGTCTAATAAGAGTATCCAGTAATAAAAAACACTAAATTTCAACAAATTGGTAGATGATGTCATAGCACAGAGGAGAATACAACATATACCGTCAGTTGCAAGTTCAGAACCCATGTTGTAATTTCATTTACAGACCCCCGTGGACCAACTGGTTTGTGGTCATGGAGGATGAGGTGGGATATCCATTGGTTAGGATATCTAATAAAAAACATCTCATAAATCCAAGGAAATGACTTCAACAGCGAGCATGGGGCGCTATAACTCCAAACCCGGGCAGATGGGGCTCGTTAGCTGGGGACAGCAACCCATCTAGGAGAGACAACTCCAAAATCAAACAGCTACTGCCTTGTAGTTTGTTCTTGGGTGATCAAAGGCTATGGAAGCAAATCCAGAAAGAAAAGCAGGCTGAAGTCGGAGTCAACGGGCCATCTAGTATGGCGCATAACATGCTGGCACGCACTGCTTAACTAAGAACGAAGAAGAAGAAGAAGACGACCCCCTAGATTGTCCTCAGTTGGAAACACTCTGCGCGCCACTGCAAAACTTCATATCTTTTAAGATGCCATTTTATTTAAATCTATATATTTAGATACTTTTATAAGTTTATATAATTTTAAAAATTAATTTTATCAAATGGTTCTAGTATTTAACCCTACAACTTTATGTAAATAGTCCCAGTAGTTTACTTTTAAACATTTTACTCAAAAATTTATTTTAACAAAAAAATATGATTAAGTTATTATTAGATTATTAAAGATTCAAGACACTACACTTCAAACTAAAGCATAATCTATATATATAATTCTCTTCTGGGATCAGTTAGAAAACAAGCTGCAAGCGCGCCTTTGCAGTCCCCTCTCTTCCTCTCTATCACTACCACCCCCACCCCACCCCCCACATGATCTGGTGAGCGGTGTTCACTCTGTTTACATTTTACAATCACAGAGACGGGTTTGGTGACGGCTATTAGGGGCAGATAATTTAGTTTGAAACGATTTTAAACTTAGAGGAGGTAACTAAGAGGAGGCTGCTTTCACGTGGGGGGGGGGGGGGGGGGGGGGGGTAGTGTTTTTAAGCAAATATTTTCAATGGCAGCATTGGTACTGTCGAATTCACAAATTATAAATTACTGAAAAGTAGAAAAAAAACAACTAAATAGCGGCGTATGATACGCAGCGGGTCGGCTCGTTTTAAATAATTAAAAAACCTCATTCCATCTATCAGCTAATCCTAATGTGTATTAATTAATTATAATAATTAGGCCTAAAGTCTTTTGGTCTATCTGGCTAATTAAATAATTAGTACTCTTTATTGATTTGATACATTGATAGTAATTGATACCTACTCCCACAAATCATCAAGAAGTTGTTAAAAACTTAGTGACTTAAGTTACGTACACTTAAGTAAACATTCAACACTAAAAGGAAGTAAAAATTAAAATAGATTGTTACATCTATTAGTGTTTATTCTAAAAGACGTTAAAATTGAATGGTTTTGTTATGCATACATGTGATTAGCAAAAGCCCCTCGCTCTGCAAGAAGAGGAAACATGACATGAAGAAAAAAAAAACTGAGACGGTAAAAAGAAGATAAAAACAAAATGAAAAATTAATAGTCTTAAGATTTTAAGTAAAATACATCTACATATTGAAGAAATATGATGAGTATAAAACTTACAAAGGAATATTATACTTGTTGTTTGAATAGGCAGCATTGCCCTTTTAATTCTTCCACTACTGTTTACATTATGGGAAAAAGGGGCGAACGTCGATGGCGTCCATATTGTTTAAACATGGCGTCGACTATGAGATGTGTATTAATTTGTATGTTTTAGATTGCTTATAATTAAACAAAATGTGTTTAAATATACTTATACGTATAAGCAAGATGTTGTATTTGTTATGATTTATCATTCTTTAGTGAAGTTGGTGTTTGAAATTTAAAGTTTAATTTGGAACTATTTCTTCTGGTTGCTGGGCTTATCCGGAAAATACCGAAAGTGACCGATCAGTTACGTGAATTGTCAAGGGCAGTAATTGCACTTTAACTATATGTGTTGAATAAATGAGTTACATCCCTCAGAAGATACTTTACCACAACAAAATTACACGTTTGAGATTTTTATCATTTTAAAGGCCCAATATAAACACGTTAACTATCAAAACAATATTTAGGGAAATAATTGTACACAAATTTGTTATACATCTATTTTAGATACGAAGTAGTAACTTTATTTTTACAAGTTTTTACTTATTTCACTGTCTGTATGAAAGTTTGTAGCAAATCTTAGATTAACATTAAATGTTACTCAATTTTGGCCCACTTCTAATGCAGCGATTTCGTCCAAACTTTACAGATACGTCCTACTTCGATGACACTACATGGATGTCTTTTTAAAAAAAAATGTAATTAGACATTAGGTTAATAATTAAAAATTGATTTAAAGATTTTTAATAATAAAAGGGGAGATAAGTTTTCAAATACTAGCAATTCGACGACGTGAACGGTGTTTTTTTTTTCAAGGCTGGCTGGTTTTTCTGCTATGCGTCGACCACAGGCTAAGAAAGGGCTGATAAATTTTATTCCAAGATCGGGTTTTTAACGCAAATATTTAGCCTAGGTAGTTGGATTTCATTTCAGTTGAATGACTAAATTGTGGAAAATAAAATAATTAAAAAAGCTTTATTATAATAAGCTTTTAAATGCACTGAAAATATAACTTAACCCCATTTTGCCAATGGACTGTTATTACTATAAATTAACTCTGGTATTAGATTGCTGTGAACATAAAAAGTTTAATAGAACATTTTTTTTTACATAAAACAAAATGAAGTCCTTAAATATATTTAAATCTTTTAAATTTTTATTTGTTGGCAAATAAGTACAACAAAAAGTGGCACTGTTCCAATTTAAAATGCATTCTTAGCACATAAAAAAGGGGCATGAATAAAATGAAAAAAATCTTTAAAATGCAGAATTGTTCACTCATAACAAATAAGTAGCAATTTTAATACAACAGTATACAGATCCTACCATAGTATGGTATTTAATTATTTTGGTTAATTAACATCAATTACATAAAAATGTAGACTAATTTCACCAAAGTAGGGGTCTATAAATAACAAATCAAAACTTAAATAAGAAGACTATTACCTAGAATCATTATTCTAGTATTCTTATTTATCACTAAAAAAACATACAATTTATCAGCAGGCTGAGTTAAGAAAAGAGTTTTCATTTTTGAAGTTAGTGTAAAATATGACAAGACTTCAACAAGAGTTAATTCCCTTAAATATACAGACAAATAACTCTAATTATCAACTCTTTTTTTTTTAAATTCTTAAATACCCCTAAAGATTTTAAGCTACAATTTTATTTTCTTAAAACTTAGAAGAACCCTCAGCCACTGACAAAGTAACAAGACCACTTGTCATTGCTGTGAATTTGTTTCAGTATGATGAAAGTCTTCAACAGTTTATTTATTTTCGTATACACTTCACCATAGTAAAATCCCCCACTTTATCTTAGCGTACACTTTTCTACATCATAATACCTGATGGCTCTGATATCACATAAAATATCTGATAATTTTGAAGACACTTCTTGTGTCTCCCATTGAAGTATATTAAATCAGAGGAGCTGTATTTAAACTATTTACAAAACAAAGCTAAGAAACTTCCTTGTCTCAGTTTCTAAGCATAACAGTTCATGGAAATTCATCAAGACAAATGATTGGACTTTAAATTGTTTGGTAACAAATTGCAGTTGAACAAATCCAAATTTTCATTAACATGGAATCTATTAACTTCTGAAGATGGTCTTGCTTCTATTTTGTGGCTGGATGAAAAAGTGTTTCTAGGATTGAACGAGGTCATGGGTACAACAGCATTTGGGTTCACATACTCATTAGCCAGACCAGGGAAGCAGAAGGCATTGGCATTGGTATCCTGAACTGAAGGGTAGTAGTGGTAGTAGGCACCATCAAAATACATTCCACTGTAGGGACCCATTTCATGCTCTGAATGGTTCATGCGGCTGGTGGCCAATGAGCTGATCTGTGATTGATATTGGTAGAGATCAGAGTTAGCAACGTGGCCAGTAGAGAACATGCGATTGGCTGAAATATCTCCATCTGTCAGCATGCTTTGAATTTGGAAGCCAGTGAGTGGAATAGTGTGTGTGATGATTTCATCTTGAATTATTTCTGAAAATAAATGAACATATTAGTTATTTCTTTCTTGAATTCTGATTTGCCCAAGCAAGTAATAAAAATTTTTGGGTAATAAGTTTTACACATATTTTGACATACAACTTGTATATGGGGAGATAAGGGGAGACAATCCAATTAAAAGTCTAAATCTTAAGATTCTCATCCGTCCAAAAGTTGTTGCTCTGTTTAGTGTGAAAGCTTTAAATATTCCAAATATATAAAAACAAAATACATAAAAAAACATCTGACCTTTTTTGGTTTCTCTTGGTGCTATGCATCCACCAGAAGTGGCATACAGTGGAGTGGCCTGTGTATTTTCTGCCCCTTTTGTAATATCCATCTGCAGCCTTTTTGGTTTGGGGCAGGTTTCAGAATGTGTTGACATTATACATTCTGAAACAGAAGTTTGCAACTTTAATTAATATTTACAGTTTGATTAGGAAAAAATAAATTTATTGTATTGCACATGTTAATGCCATGAGTATTAAATTATTTCAATGGAAGTTTTATAACATGTTTACTTATGATTTAAATTAAAATGTATGTATTCAAAAGAAACACTGAACTACACAATATTTTTTTACGCATAAGGTTACCTCTCTTAGGTAGTGAATTTCCAGATGTAAAGCTAGATACAGCATTTTTCTGCTGCTTAGAGCTGTTATATAATCCATTCATTGTCTTCATATCCAGTGTATGGCCTATGAAGCTACTTGCAATACTTGCATTGTCTTTCAAATTTTGTGAACTTGGCCTGACTCTCACTTGACTGTTAACATTTTGTTCACAGCTAGCTAGTGTTAAAACAGGAGCTTCTGATCTATATTTGAATAAAATATGTAGATTTATGCATTTTGAAGTTACCAAAATGTGAATCTATAAGAAATTAAGTGTTTGACAGTAAAGTTTTAAAGTTTAGAGACACATCCATTTAACATATAGAGGTTTTCAATATTAACAAATGAATGAGTTATTAAGAATAAATTGCCAATTACTTTTTGTCTACAATGTGCAGAGGTTTCCCTAGTGGTGATAAGTCAAGGCCTTGAGACTTGCGTCTGGAGAGTTTTTTACGAGACATGTTTATTTTTTTTGCAGTTTCATTCCTTGACTCCAGCAGTGGGTTGCTGTTGCTCATTATCTCAATCACCTGACCATAAATCTACATTACATTAATCAGATACATTACTTGAAATAAAAACAGTGCACCCCACATATTTTATTGTGATGATCTACAAAGCAGAAGCTACTAAGTTTTCTTGTAAATTGTGAGTTAAAAGTAGATGAGTCTCTTACTTGAGACTGAAAGTCCTGTGGAAGTGCAGCATTGATAATCTTTAGGTAGTCAACTGTCATCTCAAGAATGGATGCCATGTCAGTTTTACGTCCTCTGACGTAAGGAAGGAGAACTCGAAGTTGATCACAACTGTCTTTAATTCTCTCCCTGCAAGATAATTAAATCAAATTTTAAAAAAAACAGAAATGAAATATACCTTTTTAGAAAGACTAAAGTTGTGATCTTTAATTATTTTTTACTGAAAATATTTTTTTATGTGAAAATTGAATTATGTTATAGTACTTTTTGGTACATGGAATAAAACTTATGAGAAAGGATGCTTTAATGATTTATGTGAAATAAATCTTAAACAAGATGTTTCTTTAAATAATTTCAGTGTTAATAGTATATGATAATAGCATAAATAAATTAGATAATTTAAAGAAAAGCAAAAATACTTAGGCCTATACATAAATAAAAATGCAGTAAATGTACATTGTAATGGGTTTGTTTTCCCCTTGTAAAGCATATAAAAGGTATAAGTTAAAGTATTTCTAAAATAACAAGGCAAGATTCTGTCAGAAAAAAAATAATTGCATTGGTAATTGACAAAAGTGATTAATTTGTTAAAAGCAATTTAAAAGAAGATTTTTGCAAGATTTTGATTTATACACAACAAACTATAAATGCTTTTAAAATATCTCATGTGATTTAAAATTATTTTAACAGAATTTAAACATTTTAAACGCACACGTAACCTACAACATTTTTGCATTGTTTTTGTCACTGCTGTCACTTGCAACTTACCTGCGTTTTTTTTCTGTACAAGCAGGAAATTTACTCCAAAAACTGAAAATGATAATTTTGTTAACAGCTATTCCTTTAACACCTCAATAATTTGGCATTTATTTATGTTTATATGAATCACATATTTTGACAATTATTTTAATGCATTTAATGAATAGCACACACAATGTACAAAATTTTAACTATTAAAAGATAAAAGGTGTATTTCGTTGTTTGTTTACACTTACAAAATCCAGCCAAGGAGATATTATCATTATGCAATTAATTACTCATTTTAACTTAAGGAATTTTTACTGTGAAGACTTACAGTATATTTTTATGGTTAAATGAATTTTTGTAGTACTTTTAGTAAGACTAATTAGGTTTAGTATTGTAGCAACCTTAGAAAGTTAGAAACATTCTCATTATTAGTATGTTTTAGTGGTAGGTCTACTGTTTCCTTAAATATACCACACCACACAATGTCAACAAGTGTATGGTGTTATGTTTATAGAATGATGAAACTAGCCTAAGCAAAAATATAGGTCATCTCTCTACTCTATAGTCTCTGTGACATAGGTATCTGCTCAATACTCCACAGGCAATTGTATAGAAACTAGCTATAGTCACAATCTTTCAGAATCTATGATGCACATATCTAAATACAATGCTGCAGTTTGGCATGGCAATCCTTTTAGACCAATCCTTGCATCGTGGTGTGATAGGTCTAAGCATACAGTATCATTTTAGTTGAAGGAAATAAAAAGCTTGCTTATACAATCACCTTCGTTGTTTTTCCTTGGTTGCATGTTCAGCTCTACACCAGGAGGGTGGGGAAACTTCTTGCGGTGAGCTAGTTGTGAGAATAATCTATTTATACTTAGACGTCTACTCTACTACATTAGATAAAATGTTCTAAAACGTAGGACTTTAATGGAAGGAATGATAATACAAATTATAAAAAACTAAGTGCGTGGAACAGTGTGACTGCAACAATACAATTTACAAATGAGAATGGACCAGAGTTTTTGGGCACATGTTCGGTACATACCTTCTGTCCTGTATGATATTAATGTATGACGATTTCTCTTCTGCGGGTGTAAATGAACTTTTCAAGTCAGAGAAAGAGATGTCGCTGATATCTTGACCACTGGATACACTTCCAACATTGGAGGACTGGCTAGCATGAGAAAACATTGACACGCTATTATACATTGACACGCTATTATACATTGGCTATCACACATAGCAATGGAGGACTGGCTAGCATGAGAAAACATTGACACGCTATTATACATCAGCTATCCCACATAGCATTGGAGGACTGAATAGCAAAAGAATATATTTTGACACTATTATGTATGAGCCACCACCGAGCTCTTATTAAGAATGAGTTTTTAGCAAAAAATATTCAAATTAACCCCATAAAGGTCAAACACAATAACGAACCTGCATTCTGTGGTCCTGATGGATTCAATGCTGATTGTGGACTCGGGTGTGTTTACAGTCTCCCGTGTTAAAGTTTCAGAACCACCACCTACATAAAACGTATTAAATTGTCAGAACCACCACCTACATCAAAACGTATTAAATTGTCAGAACCACCACCTACATCAAAACGTATTTAATTGTCAGATACACCACCTACATGAAAACGTATTAAATTATCAGAACCGCCACCTACATTAAAATGAAATTTATAATATTTTGAACAAACAGTGGCTTAGGTAGGCGGTTGTTAGCGTCCCCTCCCCCTCACCAACACGACGCAGCCCCCCCCCCCCCCCCCCCCCCATCATTTTTTGTCTAAAGTGAAGTTATATTGACTATACATGCACAACTGTAAAAATCAATTCGATTTAGATTAAAATACTGTCTTGCTTAAAAATGTATTTTAAAAAATGTGCTAGCAGCTTTAAAAAGAATAAGTTGAAAAAACGTTGTAAGAGGATTCAAGAACAATAAATCAAAGAAAAACGAATCACAGAAAGCTATAGCTAGAGTTGCGTACCTTCACCTGACATCCATCGAGGCTTCTGATATTTGTGGCGGATCTCATCCACCGGGATAGGGCTAGTATAGATATCATCGAATCCCCGGGCTTGAAGGTCAACTAAAAATAAATAAATCTGACTTTTGGAAAATATTTTTTTTAAATGAACTGCAATCAGTGGCGGAACTAGAAAAAAAGGGCCACCCCGCAAAAAAAAATTTTGGTCCCCATATATATATATATATATATATATATATATATATATATATATATATATATATATATATATATATATATATATATATATATATATATATATATATATATATATATATATATATATATATATATATATATATATATATATATATATATATGAATGACACTATATACAAAATACGAACATAGAATACTCGATACGGGGGGCATGATCGAAATTTGAAAAATATTAAAAATTCTTAGTTTTTACTTTTAATAAAAGCATGTTAACACACATCATTTGTGTGAGTGCTATTAGTCTGTTTTGAAGTTTGGCATTATGCTTACTCAATATGGCTGGTGAGTAGGACATCAACCAGTTTTACGGCTCATGCAAAAGTGCTTATCAAGTCGATCAAAAGAATATGAAGCATGAAAGCTTTGTATGCGTAATGGTTTCTTGTCTTATGTTTATTTAATGTTTTTTTAGCATTTATATTATTAGTTTTTAATACATTTCCTTTTTATACCATAACATTCTTTATTACTTTTTTTTTAATATTTAAGAGAAGTAATTGCTTTTTAATTTGTTTAGTGCAAATCTATTAAACGTTTCTTAAGAGCACACATATTTGACTATTTAATCTATTTAATAAAGGGAAATAAGTCATGGAAGTGGTTTGAACGTTTGCCTATCTTTCACACTACAACTCATGTAGCCTATAAATTTTTTTCCTTTACGAAACAGCGTGTGTTGGTTATTGTAGAACATCACTACTGTATTAGATCTTTTTTTTTTGTTTTTACTGGAAAATTATTTTTTTAACTATAAAAAAATTGATTATGGTCCACCATGGGCCCCTAAACGGCCTGGGCCCCCCCCGCATTGCGGGGTCTGGCGGCACTGTAGTTCCGCCCCTGACTGCAATGTTAACCGATTAAAAATTCTCATGTTGATTTAGGAGATAATACAAATCTTAGTTAAAAGTTCGCAACTGCTTCACTCTTTCAACAGATTCAGTGAGATTGTGTAGGTTCTAGAAATATTTGGCCTATAGTCCATATTAAAATGCCACTTACCGTCTGTTGGTTTGTCTATAATTGCGATGAAACTTGCGCTTTTGTTTTTTGTGCACGTCTGTCTGCAAGAATAATTTTTATCACGACAAGAATTCAACATTTGCTAAACGAACTTAGGACAATATAACTTTAATATCAAACTCGTCAATTACTTATTGTGAACGGAGAGTACATTTGACAAACTAAACTTTGACACTAAGCTGTTAGCCTGCAAATGTCATTACCTGACACCTTCAAAACAATACGGGCACGGTCTTAGCCTTTGCCCTAACTCTAATGCCAATATTCTTCTCTCTTCTTAATCTCGTTCGTGTCAGAGACACATGGCACAGATGAAGTAGAGTTCATCTGATTCATTGACCTCGGCATATGAAGGGATAGTGTGGTCAGCACTATGCCCAACCGCCTTTGTTTCCCTAACGTAATTTAGAAACCCATCAAAGCTGGGTGGACTCCACTTATTTGAACCCGGATTCGAACTCTACCTAGCTCTCTACCGCTAGGCTACGCCGTCCCTAATGCCAATATTATAGCCCCATATTCACGTCTACATTATTACAGCCTATATTAAAGCTAATTACCTAATGGCCGCAGCAATGGACACTGTTTGGTCAGCTGATGTCGTTACCAAGGAGACAAATATCAGACGGAAACTCTGGGAACTGCACAGCTTGGTGGCGTCTAGCGTGGTGGAAACTTTCAGGTCGGTCACTTGGAGCGCCTGACAAAATTTTCATTACATCTTCATCATTAAACAACATTTAAGATAGAAAAAAGTTCACATTGGACTAACGCAATTTAACACAATATAGACAAAAAGAGTACTCAAATCTACGTAGCCTTGACTTAACACATTTTAAGAAATCTATTTGCTCGACAGTTGTTATATCCGGACAAAATGCAAATGCATGTTGAGAGTTTAAAGCTTAAGTCAAGTCTCTGAATGTATTTTGAATGTTGAATGTATATTAACAGAAGGTAGCCTAATCTTATTTTCTTTTACTTGTGATAAAATGTTGAGCATTGAGTAACAAAACCTTAGTTTTGATATATAGCATTACTTGAGATATAAAAACATGATATAAAAACTTGTGATATAAAAACCTTACTCGTGATATAAAGCCTTCCTTGTGATATAAAGCCTTACTTGTAATAATATAAAACCTTACTTGTAATAATATAAAGCCTTACTTGTGATATATCACGTCTGAGACGGTCCCCATCAGCCTCGTCCTGGATTAGCAACGTACTGGGGTCGTTGACCACAGAGTCTTCAAATAGCTTGGTCAGCGATGGACTTTTCCTATCTTGTACTGGACTAGCTGGTCCACTCGTCTCCATTTCCTGGTTAACAATGAACAGATTATGTATAAAAATGTTCGTCGGATTGAATGCGAAACAAATTTTGGCTTAGGTTGTTTACTGTATTTGTTACTGAAGGGATCATCGTCAATTATATCTGTACCTACCCTTTGGAGCACATTTGGATTAGGGTGTGTCCCCGGATTAGGATTAGGTTTAAGGTCACATAATATGTGATAACTGTTCTACTAATATATATTAAGAATACCCCCCCCCCCCGATTATATTCACAAATTGTGGGTCTCCCCAAAAGAAAACAAACACACCTGACTCACCCATTCACTTTGTGTATCAAGCTTAGAGACAATGGAACCACTACACACCGAGTCGTCAAGGAAGGCGTCCACGTCTCCATGGCAACACTCGTCCTCAAGGCCGACCTCCCCGGGTTCTTTGGGCCCCTCGTTGTCAGTCACGTTGACGTATACCTTTTCCGGAGATCCGGCGTTGTCGGCGCCAAGATTTTTATCCTCGCCGGTCAGAACGTGAGATAACAGGTCGCTGGGCTGTCTGCCTCGACCTTGACCTTGCCTGCTGGATGTCGTTGCAGGTGTGCAGGTCTGAGACTCGACACTCGCCAGCAAACGGAACCCGTCACCGGAGAAGGAAATATTTTGGTTCTCGCTGTTGACACACGACAACAAAGCCGACTCCAGCAATCTCTTGTTCGCGCGAGTCAAAGGCCCATTTGATGCCAGACCCGGGGCTTTAAGAATCAGAACTTCCGTCGACTTTGGCGTGTCGGTATGGGCTGTTGTTTCACGTTGGAATCTGCTGGCATCGAGGTCTATCCCTCGGGAGATGCTCTCCTTGACCGTCACGCCCACAAACCTCAACAAATCTCGTAGCTTTAGCTGGGCATGTGAGCTTGTAGCCTCACTAGAACCGCGTTGTCCATCTTCAATATCTTTCTTATCTTTAACTTTATCTTGATCTGCATCAACTATCTCACTTTTGTCGTGAGTTTTTGATGTTTTATCCTCCATATTTGAAACTTGTTTCGTATTCCTCGATAAAGCACAGAATTTCACGAGATCACGAATAAAACAAGGCCGATAGTTGTGCAACAAATGAAATATTCTCCCAACTTTCACACACAAGTTTGACAAACTGCCCGTGATTTGCGTGGTTTAGCTCGTGTTGGTAGAGGCAGCCATACGTGACGGATCTAACGGATGTGTTCATCTCAGGTGTGTCGAGGTATCGTATTTACCCATAGCGGCTCAGGCAAGACAATTAAAACCAGGTATTTACCCAATTAAACGTCGTAAGTTTATAATTGTATCGATTCTTCATTATCTCTATACGCTCATTACATTTTTTAAAACTCGACTTTAGAACGTAAGTCTTAATTTGTTTTACAATAAATGGCTGTTTACAAAGCGAGTATAGTAACCTTAATATAGAAATGGTTACAATACCGTTCAAAACTAGTAATCGACTCTACATAAAGCTGTCAAAAAGGCCTTTGGTGTGTCTATGTTGTGAGTACCATTGAAAGTCCCGCCTTGTAACGTAGCTAACAGTACAGCCTGAGGCCGTTGACACCCATCTCTGTGTGTGTGTGTGGTTTGGTGTGTGTGGTGTGTGAGCGATGCTCAGAGTTACACAAGTTTATGATTGGTGAAACGATTGTATGGTCTAACCAGTTCTGTGTAATATTGAAGTGGCCACACTATTATCCAAACAGTGTAGTATGTTGATTTTGAGTTGTGTCAGTAACGTAGGCCGTAGGCAGGAGGGTATAACCCCCACCCCCACCGCCACCCACATGAACCCCTTAAGAAAAATTGTCTCACTCGAGGTTACAAATTTTAGCGACGGTGTGATTATGTGGCTTTATAAATACCATTTTAAAAATTTGTTTCTATAAAGTTTTTTTAGTTCATATTATTTCTCTTTATATTGTGTATACGTATACATACGTATGCGTTGGTTTGTTTGGGGGAGGGAGAGTGTTAAAAGTGTTGACCACTGATACATTTCATTAACAACATAGATCTATGTTTTGGAATGTTAATAATGTCACTTTGTAAAATGCCGCCTTTAGTGCAATCAGCATGACAACTTGCTAAACCGAAAAGTCTCGAGTTCGAACCCTCGGGCAGATGAGTCTCGTTAACTGGGGGCAGCCACTCTTCTAGGAGAGACAACTCCAAAATCAAACAACTGCTGCCTTGTAGTTTGTTCTTGGTTGGACAAAGGCTATGGAAGCAAATCCAAAAAGAAAAGCAGGCTGAAATCGGAGTCAATGGCCTCAACGGCGCAATACCAGTTGACACGTATCCTTAATGGACACCAGCGAGAAAAGTCTCAAAGGTATTTGAGAGGTGTATAAATTCATTTAAAAATCACGCACAGCGTAGTTACAATTAATATGGTTATAAAATCCTGTCTATCTGGTTTTTTTCGGACTTTACTAAAGATTGGATGTTTTTGATGTTTATAATATTTTCGGTAACTAAATAAAAATTTAAAAAAAAGCAAAAACAATTTGGTTTTCACGTGTAATGGCGACATAAACAATGGCATCCTGCTATTGGATAGGCCGCCATTGATTTTATTGTACACATTGTAAGCTAAAAATAGAAAACTAGGTCATGGGGTTTTAAATTTGCATTGTAATTTAAAAACTTGATCTGCAAAGTTTTGTAAACAAATAGTTATCGATCACTAAGTTACTGTACAGCCAATCAATATTTGTCTTACGAAAGTGAAACATCCGGTTATAACTTAGGCTTGATGAAAATAAATAGAAATGTAGCCTTAAACTCAACAAATTATTTTCAAGTTCTCTGGATTTGCAACTTTTATAACATTTATTCTAAAAATATAAAATTTCTAAATTAATTTTAGGCTTAAGTTTTTATTTTTTATTTTTTTTTACGGTCTAAATCTAAAAAGCACGTTTTTATTCCATGTCAACAACATTGGGGACGGAATCTCGTCAACTCGCTCGCCTCCATTGTGATGGAGGCGTGGTCGAGTCGGCAAAAGCTCATGATGAATTCGAAAAAGCCTCGAGTTCAAAACCCTCTGGCAGATAAGGCTCGATCCCTTCTAACGCTAAAAATTAAGAACGAAGAAGAAGAAGGAAAAGCTTGACAACAGATGACGCGTTTAATCAAGGTAGTGGTTAAACATGAGAGAGAACTGATTGGTTTAGACAGACTTTAATGATTTCTAGTGGCGTAACATTTCTATGGCCATTTTTTAAAAAATCGAGTAGGGTTGTTTACAGTGTTTCTTCCAGACTTTTTTCTCCGGGGGGGGGGGGGGGGGGGGCACTTGAAATTTTCGGGGGGGGGGGGGGGGGACGGGACGGTAGACTTTCTTCGGGGGGGGGGGGGGGGCGGACACTGTTAAAAGTATATATTTTCTATATAAATTATATAAATTTCATTTCGTTCGGGGGGGGGGGGTAAAAAAAATTTCGGGGGGGCTTTGCCCCCCCCCCCCCCGAAGAGATGCCTGGAAGAAACTCTGGTTGTTTAGTTTATTTATTTACTTATTTTTTTTGTTTCTTTGCCGACAATACGTTTAAACCATTTTGTTCGCTAATTTATTTTTGTTTCGGTTGTGTTATAGAATACAATTACTCAAAGGTGCAGCCGTAAGGGTTTTTTTTGCCTCACAAATGTTACAGCGTCAGTTTACCTTGCTATGCATGTTCGCTTGACTATTACAGTTTTCATCATCGGCTTATAAGGACTGATACAGTCTTACAATAGTTATACTTCTTTCTGAAATGTACTTTCATTCATCTAAGATGATTTGCTTATACATCATACAAATAGTCTACTTACGATTTAGTTATAAACCTGAAAACGCTAAAGTGTAATTGAATGGTGATTCATTATTCGTTGTTTGTTTTTCTTTTTTTTTTTTTTTTAAAAGAAGCAGCTATAAGTGTGAAAACGAATTGCCTTGCATGTGGAATAACACTTTTTTAAAAACTCGGACACAATTAATTTACTTTTAGTGATCTAATTCTGCTTAGTGTCGAGATGTAAAATCCCGTAAATAAAATAATTAAATATAAATAAAATGACAATAATCTAATTAATTTTATTTTAATCACACCGAACACTTATAATTTATTTCTTTATTTATGTTTAGATCCAAACATTCTAGCCAGGTTCGATAAATATGAGTAGGTAGTGAAATTGAAAAATAAAATATTGAGTTATGTCCCTTGTAATAGCGCTGACTATAGTCCAAGGGATTGCTGGTCTGTGATAAAATAATCAATTCTTAAACTAGACACCAAAAGTATGCTCGTAGCTTCTAAATAGTTAATTTTAAATTATATTCGTTAAACACTTCATAGCTTGTATATAGTTTTCATGTTTTGACTTCCCACAAGGGTTCATTAACATTTAACTTTTTTTTTATTACTAATACATTAAAGACAAAAAATAAATAAACGTCTCGAATTTTTAGATCACTGAAATGTTTAAATAAGTTGTAATTATAATTTCCTAAATATATTAAACCCCATAACACAAAGATGTATAAATAGTATTCGTAAAAACAGAAATAAACAAAGTTTTGTAATATAATACATTTCAAATAAGTTAAAAAATTAACCCATTGTTGTATAACTTTGATCACCTTGCATTATAAAGCTTAATTCCAGGACATGAATCAATTTTTAAATGTCTTCGTCATCCACATATCGTTATTTCATACTCGTCTGTTTAATTTGATCATTTCGATTTGTCGTTGTCTATTGTTCACTCTTGTTTGTTCATCAGGGTTTGTTATCTGGAGGCAAATTAGTCTTTGTAGTATTAAGGCATAACCCAATGGTCAAGAGCAAAAGAAAATGAAAACTAAGTCAATTTTATTCATCTTTGATTATTTGGAGAGAGAAAAAAATCTCGTTGAAAAGACTAAAAATAACATGTTTGAAAAACTAAAAATAGGGTCAGAATGAAGTTGGAAGATTTTCCTTGTTGAAGTCTTGATTAAATATCTGAATATCTAAATATCGGAACGTGGAGATAATGGTTGTTCGGGTCGGGTTATGGGAGATAGAAAGAAACAAACAACAGACCATAGTCTCATTAACAAAAATATCGGATATCATTCCTAATAACTAAACATTGGTTTTTTGAAAATACTGACAAAATACATTTTTATTAGTTAAGAAACAGTCAGTCCTACAAAAATAAAACATAAACCATATATATATATATATATATATATATATATATATATATATATATATATATATATATATATATATATATATATATATATATATATATGTATATATATATATATATATATATATATATATATATATATATATATATATATATATATATATATATATATATATATATATATATATATATATATATATATATATATATATATATATATATATATATATATATATATATACTGGATTGTTGCCAGATTTTTATGTCAAGGTCAGTACTATAAAAGCGCCTTATCCAAGCATTATATTTTTAAAGAAGACACTCCTTCACATATCTCAAGTAGTTTTATTAATTAGTACACATTTCACTTATTTTAATTTCACCATATTGACTTTCCTGATATCATGACTGATTTTTCAAATGGTACAGTATTTGGAATGAATGTTGACATTTTGAAAATAAAAACAAATCCTAGATGCGGTTGTTATCGCTATGACTAACAACCTGTTATTTAAATTCTCGTTAGTCAGAATATAATTGTACTTTACAATATAATTTACATGAAAAACTATACTGACCACATCGTATACTTATACCCAAAATATACCGCACACATTAGTATAGTAAAACTAAAAAAATATAATTATATATCGATAGTAGTATAAAATACTATTTCGAACCAGGCCTTCAATGAAATAGGTGAAGTAGGGCTGACCTGTTTCGTTGACCTAGATATATGAAGGGATAGAGTGTTCAACGCTATGCCCAGCCGTCTTTATTTTTCCTAACCTGAGCCAGTTACACTACCCTAACAGTATTGTAGCACTAAAATATACTGACTACAATAGTGTTGTAAAACAAAAGCTATGCCAACACAGAGTATAGGAATTGATTATTTTACTTTTGCTTATTTTGTTAAAAACTAAGATTTAAAACTTAAAGTATAACACGGACCATCTGAACAAAAGATTA